GATGCCTTGTGCTGGTTCTGGCATCCACCATTCTTAGCTTCTTATCGGCTTCTGGAGCTTTTGAAACCATTCAGACTGCTTAATTTGCAGTCTACTAGGACACTATCTCCTGTGTCTCAGGTGTTTTCATCATATACATCGTTAATATCTTAATTGGAATATGAAAGATGAAGCTATGATTTACTTAATTTTTAGGTGAATGTAGGGCTTTGTTTTCCTTGGAACTTCCTTCTGCACTTGCTGCTCTCTGTAGGAAGGCTTTGTGAAACAACAGCAATGCCCACTAAACTATGATGATACTCCTTGCTATTGGAACCATTTACAGATGGTAAACATGAGACATATAGATGTTGGGGAACATTTTGTAATCTAAAGGATGGGAACTGAGTACAAGTCTAAAAAATTTAAGTAGTTTTTCATATCTTCCCCTTTTTTCTTTTATTATTGTTGCTGTTGTTTGTGTCTCTTGAACATTTCTTAAAAATATAATTACACTATTTTTCCTTTCCTTTACTTTCTCCAACACCTTGTGAGCTATCTCCCATCACTCTTCCCATGTGCTTCCATCTTAATACCTCTGGTGTTTAACAGAAACATTTTCTGGTGTTTTAATGTAATATACTTATCCCTGAGGGTTAGAGAGGTATGTTACAGTAAGTTGTTTGATAGAGGTATCACAGATATTGCAACCATTAACAAGCATTTACTGTAGACACCAACACATGCCAGGTGTAAGATTAGGACATCGCATCACTGATTTGGGATGATCTCAGGAAGCCCTACTCCTCCTTGAGAAGTTTTTGATAGTTAAATTTATATGCCAAACATAGTAGGTCAATATTTTCTTCACCTGTTTAGCCTTGGGTAAGTAGACCCATAGTCCAAGAAATAAGCACCAACCATGCTCACACAAGCCTCCCTTATCAAATTCAATTGTCTATAAAAACATATGACTGTCAGTGGAAAAAAATGATAATGAGAAAAGGATGCCATTAAAGGGAAATGGAGAAGGAAGAGATATTGGTGGCCAATGTGATCATACTTTATTGGGTAAGTGTGTGGAATTGTGAAAAATTAGTAGCTATAAAGCATGATTATTCTTTGAGGTAAAAATATTCCTATTATAGTTCACTTATATTTATACACAAAATAATTATATTTTATTGAATATACAAGTATAAAAAATTTATTCTCTACTAAGAAGTCTTTAATAGTTTTTAACAACACAATGGATATTTTCCTTAAAGATAGATTTCTTCTGAGAAGAGGCTTTTTGCCTAGTTTATGCGCAGAAGCACTATATTCCATCCTGTGTAGAATAATCTACCTTTTCCAAAAATTATAGTATATGAAATTATTAGGAAATAAAACCTTCTGCAAATTACAAAAATGCACAGCATACCTTTAGATGGACATAGAAACATTAGAAGTTTTGAAACAAGTGGAAAATTTCACAAAATTGTGTCACTGAATCTCATGGGACCAGAAATTTTTCAAACCCTGAGAGAACTAAAAATTGGTCTCATAGACTCATGATGCCTCAAGGAAACCTCTTTAAATGCCAGATACAGTGAGAGGAGAATATTTATGAGGAGATTAATTCATGTTGTGTTCAGCAACCATGATGAATTCAGTATCCTAGATGCAGAGGTAACCTCCTCTGCTCCACCCTCACTGCTAGGGCTGCTCTCCTTCTGTCCCTTAGATGTGGAAGGAAGAAATGGAAACAAGCAGAGAATCTTCATCAAGATTGAATGAAAAGGAGGCTATCTTCAAATTTTTCACAGAAGTCACACCTAGAGAGGCAAAGTAAGCATATGATGCACCTTCATAGAAGAGCTTTCGTTTGTGATAAAGTGATTCAACATTTGGTATTATGTGCAACCTACTGTGTTTAGCAAAATTATGCCCCTTTTACTTTACAGCCATCTGTTATTGTGAAAGTTCTATAAAGCCTGGTGCTCATATTATTTATCTTAGTAAAAATTGTATTACCAAAATTGGTTTTTATTAAGTGAATAAAATGTTTCATGAAGAAATCAGAGAATAGTAAATAATTGCTTAAGTGCTCACAGTGCTCAAATAACTGTTAAGTGCAAACTCCTTCCATCTATCCCTCCTTGAAATGTCTTTCCATTAATTTATTTTGAGCTTTCAGTTTTTTACAGTTTATTGAAATTTAACATATTTTCAAATTCATCCCTAAACATTAAAATCAAACAATTTAGAACTGCAGCACAAATTTATTTTTCTTTTATCTCAATGACAATATTTGTCTAAACATATGTTTATTTATTTACTAGTAACTCCTCATTGTGAAGCTTGCGTGGAAAGGTAGGATGCTTTGAGGTTGTATTAAGAATGCTGAAATAAGAACATGATAAATTGAAGCATTACTGTATCTTGAAAAAGCTATGAAAGTTGAATATAAAATGTTCTAGTCCCACAAATACACAGCAACACGTAACACACAGGAGGGATATAAGGTAAAAAAGTTTGACTGAATTCACAAAGTGAAGTCTTCAGATTTAATCATATCCACTTGCATTCCTCAAAGCCTTAGAGTTCTTCACTGAGATCTTAGGAAAACCAAGTGGGTGAAACTCTGTCTCCATTAAAGCTATAATTTTGTGTCATTCTCTCTCTTAAAATGAGAAGAATCATTAAGACATCAAAGGGTCATCAGAAATCCACCAGGGAGAACATGAAAGGAAAGAGAATATCTCTTTTGCCTACATTCCAGAGGTAATGGCGAAGTAAAGTTGAGATATGTAGGGAAATCAGGAGTAACACTGTTGACAGAGAAAAGATTAGTAGACTGAAGGGAATGTGTTTTCCAGAAAGTGAAGGAAATAAACCTGGTTAGCTACAAACACAAAAAATAAAGCTTTTATTGGTAGATAATAACTTTTTTAAAAAAATATATTGGACTTATGGAATTTAATATGTGGGATAATTTCATATAAAACTTCAATAAATTATCATCATTTGTAAGAACGGTAGCCATTTATATTAAATATATTAAAGAGCAACTATTTATAGTGGTAACCCTCTATTCATCTCTGAACATTTTGAGTGTTACATGCATCTCAAGTTAATGAAGACATTCTGTTATGAGGGCATATTGGCACTCCAATTACTTGTGCTGCTTGAATGAATGGGAAGGAAATAGTGGGCAGTGTGGACCATGGACCAGCGAGGCACACTTCCCTAGGTATCTGCTAGGAGAAGGCTCAATGACCACAGTTTATATTTGTGCCCCTGAGTAAGATAAGTTAGCCCTCTAGTATTTTCAAGTGCATGGCTACTGTGGAAAAGATCATGGAATATTTTAGGATAAGTAAAGAGGATGCATGTTGTTCCTAAGTGAGAATTTGGATTTGAAGTCAAAGAGCAAAGAACTGGGATAGAGTCAAGTTCAACGTATGGTTGTTAGTGGAAAGATCATGATATAATGAAACAGTCTACATAAGATGCCTGTTAAATTAACTCATTACTTCACCTTTTGGTGATCAGATGGATAGAGTGAAAATAAGAATATTTCTTTTCAGAAATTGAGAGGAAATTAGCTTTTGTGGGTGTCATTTCAGTTTTTAATTTTCAGGTTTTTAATAATCAAAAAAACATATTTCTTAGTAATGAAATTTATTATTTTAATATCTCTTATATAAATAGTACATATTTATGTTAGTGAATGAATTATTAGTGTTCTTATAGTCTCATGAAAGTTTTTAAATGCCTCCTGTTTTATGTCATATCTTTGGATTTTTATACATATACTATCATGTGATTGTAATTTGTAATAGTATTAATTATATATCATAGCTCTCATGGAAGTTTTACATTTTTGTCATTTTTAAATATTTTACACACTGCATCACATTCCTTGGTGATTGTTACTCTACTCATTTAATAGTCAGAATCAAAGTTTTGGGAGGAATTCTGTTTCAAAAATAAAAAAGCACTTAAGGTTCTCTAATTATTTTTGATTTGTGTTCCAAAATTACTGCATTTATGAAGCAATGTTAAGGTTATTATAATACATTTTTAAGTGTGATTTTTTATGAGACATTTTCTTTCAATTGATTTTATCTCATTTTTGACATAAAGCACATTTATTTAATTTGACATCAATGTTTATGTTCTTTTTGACACAGAATTTATAGAATATGTTAATAAAATTTATGGATTTTGCTGTTTGTGATCACACATGCTTATAATCCTAGAACTTGAAGGTGGAATCAGGAAGATCAGGAATTTAATGACATGGTGAGTTTGTGTCCAGCCTGGGCTGCATCTGTGTTTCCCTTTATCATTAGAGCAAAGTCTATCTGTCTTTTATGGAAAAAAATTCCAGTGCTCTGGTAGATTACAAAATGGCACATGAGTATTACACATCAAGGTGTTTTGTTACCCACATTCTAATGTATTTTCTATTAATTTGAAAATTTTGCACAGTGTATTGTAATCATATCCTAGATGTTCCCACAATATAAAGTAAATAACTTGTTAATTTCTACTCTTCATTTTATTTAGTCTAATGTTAGCTCAATGCAAATACCATAGAACAGAAGCTCCAGGTTGTCTTGCATAGCTTCACTTGAGTCTGCTGCATTGCTTTACAGTGCATTCAGTTGTAGATGATGTACAAAAATAAGGGAGGGGGGATGGTTGCCTCATCTAAACAACAAATTGAATTTATAGTTGTTTAAATTTCAGCAATTAGCCTTTTAAAATTGTATTTACCTCTCACCTCAAAGTTAAACATAGATAACCCCCCCCCCAGGTTGTTTTCCCCTCAGCTGCTCCCATGTCCCCTTCCACCAGAGTTTTCATGTGTTATTCCTCATAATCTCTCAAATTCATGACCCTTTAAAAATATTAGTGCTGTATGATATTTGTCATATTTGATGACAAGAAGGTATTTATAATGTTTTGGTCATACTTTAAAGTTAAATAAAAGTGAAAAATCAATTCTTTCTATATAGATCTATCATTTATAGTGCTACATAAATTTTACAGATTTTCTTTTTTTTCTTTTTCCTTTTTTTTTTGGTTTTTCGTGACAGGCTTTCTTTGTGTAGCTTTGTACCTTTCCTGGATCTTTCTATGTAGACCAGGCTGGCCTTGAACGTATAAAGATCTGCCTGCCTCTGCCTCCCGAGTGCTGGGATTAATGGTGTGTGCCACCACACCCAGAACAGAATTTCTTTTGTGAAGAATAATTTATTATTTGAAGTAACAATATATTTCTTGGTTTTAAACAAATTTAAAAGGTAGCCAGGATTTTGTGTACACTTAAATGTACATTTGCCTCTTATTCTATTATTGTATAAGGCAGTTCTCTGACAAGTCATTGTGGGCTACTCAGCCATGGCCTTTTATTCATATCTAGTTTTAAAATGTTATAAAATGTCTTTTAATATTCACTTCAAGAGCTGATAATACAATTACACTAGACATCTCCTCTCAAACAAGTGAAATGTGTTCATAACAGAAATTTAAAATGTGGTTCCTTTAAAGTTATATAAATATATAATTTAAGTTTTCCTCAATTTATGTGATATAACTATATCCTTCATTTTTCTAATATTTTATTTTCAACAGTAATAGAATTAATCAAGACAATTTGCATAAGGAGATACTCTCTTGTTGATGAAAATATAAGCATATGAAAAACATTTTTTTTTTACAATTGATGATTTGTGTGAAGAAAGTTTATTTTTGCTATCTTCTTGAGAATCATGCCAAACCAGAGTTTTGTCACTGAGTTCATAATCTTGGGCCTTTCTCAGAACCCAAAAGTTGAGAAAATACTGTTTGTTATTTTTTTGTTGGTTTACCTTGCAACTGTAGGGGGCAACATGATCATTGTGGTGACCATCCTCTAAAGCCCTGCACTGCTGGGATCCCCCATGTACTTCTTCTTGGCATTCCTGTCCCTCCTGGATGCATGTGTTTCTTCTACTGTCACACCCAAGATGCTTGTAGACTTCTTAAGTGAGAAGAAGACCATCTCTTTTGAATGTTGCATGACACAACTGTTTTCAATTCATTTCTTCTTGGGGGCAGAAATGGTTGTCCTAGCAGCCATGGCCTATGACCGCTGCGTGGCCATTTGCAAGCCCTTGCATTACTCTTCCATCCTTACCCGGAGGCTCTGTAGTATTTTGATGGCAATATGCTGGGCAGGAGGCTTCTTGCATTCTATTGTACAAATTATCTTCATATTGCAGCTGCCTTTATGTGGACCCAATGTCATTGATCATTACATGTGTGACTTGTTTCCGTTGCTGAAACTTGCCTACACTGACACTCATATATTTGTCCTTTTGGTGTTTGCCAGCAGTAGGGCTATCTGCATCATCATCTTCTCCTTATTGCTTGTCTCCTATGTTGTCATCTTGTTCTCTCTGAGAGCCCACAGCTCTGAAGGTCACCGTAAAGCTCTTTCCACTTGTGGAGCCCACGTTACTGTTGTGGTTTTGTTCCTTGTTCCATGCATATTAATATATGCACGGGATATGTCTGCATTCTCCTTTGAGAAGAACACACTTATATTTGTCAATGTCCTGACACCATTGCTCAATCCTATGGTTTACACATTCAGCATTAAGGAAATGATAAATGCCATGAGAAAAATGTGGAAGAGATTGAAAGTTTTTTTTGTTAGGTTATAATATTGCTCTTACACTGGTGGGGAGATGAATCAATGGGTAAGAACACTTGCTTGTCAACCTGAGGAAAAGAGCTTCATTTTCCAGAACTCATGTGAGAATCTAAGCATTGAAGCACACTTTATTCTAGTACTGGTAAATGGGAGATTTATGGATCCCAGGGTTTAGCTTCACGGCAGATATATTTGAGAAACAGTGAGCTCAAGTTTCAGTGGAGATTTACCTTAAGAAAATGAGGCAGAATG